AATAGAATATAGAATATTTAAATGGATAAATGACTTTTCAAATATTCAAAGAAAATATATGTACTTTCCCAATCTGAGGATTCAGAGATTTTTGTAAACAACACATCAAAACAGTGATCTTAAAAAATACAATATTTATTAGGGCCCACCAAAGAGATCAGCTGATTAAAGTGCCTGCAAGTAGGTGCAGGGGCCAGGGGTCCAATCTCCAGGCGTGATGTGCCAGGCCCACCTGCTGGGATCATTGAGGCAGTAATTGAGACTGGTTTTGGTGGCGTGCACCTGTAATCCCAGCTCTTGAGAGGTTGTAAACAGACAGAACACTACTAGTCTGATCTAGTAGGGAGACCCTGAACACCCTGTAGACCCTTCCCTAAAATACAAAATAAATAAATAAACATAAAATATAAGATTTGTTCATTCAAATATTAAATGTTTTTCTTCAAGCAAACTGATATAAAATGAATCACTAAATAACAAAATTGAAAAAGCAATTTTTACCTACATATAAGATATATAATATAATGTATAATATATTAACTTCTAAAGATAAAGAAATAAAATGCAGATACACCAATAACTACTCTCCCATAAGGAAGAACAGACTTTAGGCACTTGTAAGAAAATTAGGTGTCTTGATAGCATAATATTTGGGGTTTTCTTCAATTTAAAGAGAAAAAATAATAAAAACAATGATACAAAATTAGAAAACCAAGATAGTAGAACAATAACAATGGTAAGTACATTGCTCATTGTTGTCTTCAAAGTAGTGGCTCAGATCACAAGATATAGGAATAAAATCCTGGTTGAATGAGTTAAGCAAACTCCTTCAGGTCAGTAAATAAGTAATATACCTGCCATTTATATCTTGTGTATATAATTTCCTATTACTTTCATTTATACTTCTTTTCTCCTCTACCCATACAAATGTATGTTTTCAAAAAATTTTCCCATTCTCCAATATCTCTTTTACATTTGAATATCATTTACTCTTTCCGCTTCTTACATTAGGGAAGTAATACTATGCTTACACATTGAAGTCTGAATTTTTTCACTCATGATTGTGATCTCAAGTTACATCCAATTACCTATAAAAGTTTAATACTTAGCCTTCTTTACAGCTGAGTAGTACTCCTTTGTACAAAGTAAATATTTTGTATCTATTTCCCAGTTGTTGGGCATTTGGATTATTTCCAATATTTAGCTCTGATAAATTGTGTCCTAATGAACATGGGTGCACATATATTGCTGTGTTATTATACATTGATTGTTCTGGGAAAATACACAGAAAAGGAACACAGTGTCCTCTCAATTACTGCAGAGTTTACATTCCAAATATTCCTGCAAAAAGTGAAAACACAGAGAGTGAGGTTAAGTTCAACTGCCCATGTTTTAGGGCAATAATAGTAAGCTTCTCTCCTGCAAGATTAACAATTTAAGTTTGCAGACTAAACATTAGAGAAAAACAAGGGCTGCAAGGTGAGCCAATACTTCGGCCCTTGCCTGCCAAGGTCAGTGAGGACACAGGCCATAGGAGAACCTGTACTGTAGCATCGTATAACTCAGTTGTGTCCCAAATTTTCTGATTAAGGAGATTATAGGGCCACAGATGAACGTGATTGATGATGTATAGTGTGACTAAAGAGAGACACATGGAGAGAAAACATTCTCTCAGGCTTTCACAGAGAGCAAATTGGTCAAGGAATGGCCGTGATTCATCCACATGGCTGACACTAACAAAGGATCTACAAACTGCGATACAGGGTTTCAGGGTAAACCCTGAGGGGTTTTGACTGACCTTGCTTGTCAGATGCAAAAGTTACGTTTTTTGTTACATAGGTCTTGCTTTATCTTGGTCTTAACCATCCAACAGAAAAGTATAAAAACGATGTATAAAAAGTAAAGCCATAGTAATATGCTGAGATGTAAAGGGCTCAAGTCAACAACTTCTGACAAATATTGAAATTGACCCAATATATTATGGACTACTGTACTATATTGGAACATTTTGTTAAATTCATGCACTTACAATATTAAATGACAATGGCATACCCTTCTCTGACAAGCTAAACAAGAAAAGGGGATATAAATGAAGGACCATTTTGTATCTGTATATTCATAATAGTTAGGATACACAGCTGCTTTCTCTTAATTCAAAGAATAGAAAGATTTGTACTAACAGTATTTGTGGACAGGATATCATGTCTGCATCTTGTATTATTAATAACCATTAAGAAGACAACACTATGCAATGTATTAATTATTGAAGCTGTCCTACTAATCGGTTTTGAAACTGTCTCATTGCTGTTTGTTTCTCAATAAAATTATTAAAGCAAAAACAAATCATCGATAACATCAAAAATGTGAAACAAAAGCAGAAAAATAGTAAGTGAAAATCAGCGAAGTAGCAACATTATTTTATAAACTATTCACATCCTCTTATAAGCCTTTCACACACTCTTCAAAAACACTTCTAACATTCTTAGCCATTTCCTAAAGTGGTAAAACAATGTAATTTTAACAACATATACGTACTATGTGGTACTGCAAAATCCCACCTTATTGCAAAAAATCTATGATAAATAATTTATTAATAATTTTTTAAAACCCATGAATGTAGGTCATGGGTTGAAAGCGAAATTCAAACCATGAAATAGTGAGGAAATACTGTAGCTGGTTTGGATGTACCTCTAATTCTATATTTGTTAGGAATCTACACACTGATTTCCTCAGTTTATGCACCACTCTACATTCCTACCAACAGTGGAGAAGGGTTTTTCTTTCCACATTCTTCCTCCAGTTTTATTATTGGTTGAATGTTTCATGTTAGCTGTGATACAATGTTAAGTGAAATAAAACCTAGAAAATATCTTAAATAGTGCATAAAAATAGTGTGTACATTATCTTATATGGCAAATGTTAAGTACAATCAAAGACTAAAAGGAAGTAATGCAATC